GGGGGGGAGGGGTTAGATTACTCTACCTTTGTGACGCCCTGTTTGTAGTTTTCTTATCTGTATTTGCTAAAAACTACTGACTGAAATAAATAGGAAAATAATTGTGCCTCCTTCTTTTGTTAGGTGGTTGTAAGGACTTCCTCGACTACTGCGCACAATGGCTAGACAGTTATTGTCAAACTTATAAGGATTACATGAAAAAAAATTGTCCAAGGAAATGCGGCTACTGCAGTAAGTATCCGAAATGTTAAACTTTCAAGACATGATGTGTGATCTTACTCGTCCCAGTCCTCTTTGTATTTGTATTTGTATTTTATTTTTACTCCATCCTTTAGATAATACCTTGGTTGTACAATATCAATTAGTACAAGGTTGATTAAACTACGTGTACATAATAAAAAAAGAAAGTTAGAATGGAGAAAGGCACATTATAGAAAACTAATTATGGCCCTTTAACAGGATTGACTTTACTCTTATATAGCTTTGTTATTCATTATAACACAAACACGCACGCATTTTCTTTGCGCGTAACGCAGAGCGGGAGCAGGGGTGACCGCGGCCACCAGGGAGAGATAACAAGGAACGACTGGGGACGAGTCAGGACACGTGATATTAGAGAATTAACGAAACAGGCGGTCGCGGAGAAAATCGGCTTCCGTGGGGCACGAAAAAGGAACCTGAGTAATTTTTTTCCAAATTTACAACAACAAAAAAATAGTATTGTGGATTTCAAAGGAAAAGAATGGGAGCTCGCCGTCACAAGCGTCAACATAACAGCGGCTGTTATGGCTACGTTTGTGACCATTGAACCACGAATCTCAAACGCGTTGTCATTAAACAATTGCAACGTACTTTCTCCCGTTGTGGGCGGTGCTCACCAGCAATAGCCGCATGAGTACAAAATTTCTAGATATACTCGTCTTGTTGTTGTAACTTTATTGATGCTGAAACTTCAAGAGCGAATGTTGTGGAAACACTCAGCCTTATACGGGTATCTATCGGTTAGGCTTAATAGAAAAAAAAAAGTAGCGCGACTAAATGTTAAACTCAGCGCGCACAACAATCCTGAGAAACTGATTGCACTCTATATGCGGAGGTTCTATGCAGAGTTACTTGTTTGATTTTAAAGACGGTGGTTAACTACCGTGAATATCGGTCAGCGGTCAGCGAGAAAGATGAGGTAGGTACTTCGTATATAAGTACCTACCAAAGATGGCGGTAATTTTTGAGCTTCGTTAAATTTACAGTGAATTTAGCTCATCAAAGCCGCGGTTTCCTCTTGTTTTCTTCTTTTTTCGTGTTTCATATTGTCCTAATTCATCTGCATACCATTATGGGTCTAATGACAGAAGAATCGAGTCAAGAATTTGTGCTTCAGTTTTCTTGCTGACCTGTAATTTAATTTTATTTAATGCTGATGTCAACTGGCTGCCTGGCTCCGCTAGCCCCCGTGGTTATTCCAGGCAGCCAGTACTCTAGTTTTTACTTTTAATATTTCCGTTGTCGTAATTTATTTTGAGCAAGAGTGAGTCCAAATAAGGATTATTGTGGTTGTTCGTGAATGTATTTTTCTCTTTAGTTATAATATTTTCTATTAATTTAAATTGTCTTTTTAAATTCATGATTTTTAAGGTGGTCCAACCGAACCGCCAGGTGAGTGTTTTCCTAATGCATGCTATAATAAATACAGTCGACTCCCGATAACTCGAACCCTCGCTAACTCGAACCAAAATCGATTTCCCCTGGATTTCCGTCATACATTCACTGTAATTTTACCCTCGGTAACTCGACCCTCGATAACTCGAACTCCCGCTAACTCGAACCAATTTTCGTTTCCCCTCAGGTCATTTTCTATATAATTTTACCCTCGATAACTCGAACCATGTTTTGATCCCGACCACGAAGATAAAAAAAAAAACGTCCAAACAGACTTTCCGACAGATCGAGATCTCAGACGCTTTCAAGACAAAAATTGGTAGTTGCCCTGTGCGAGCAACAATTAAAAAAAAACACTTCACTTCCGTTTGACGTGCGTCAATCAAAAATGCCTTTTTTTCTGTTTTCATAATAAATTGCAAATTTCACTTCATGTCTCGTTTCATTTTCACACGAAGTGACTTCAATCTAGAGTTTGTAGAACAGAAGAACGGTTTGAAAGTCTATCGGTGTCCCCTCTTCAAACTGAGCTGTAAGCCCCTGAAATGATCCCGACTCCGAAATGATCTCCATTTCTCATCACGTCGTCCCCGAAATGATCCCCAAACGGGAATGATATCCTAAAACTATGGATCGAGCCAGATCGAGCACAATGCACAACATTAATTTAAGTTTCACTAATAATCTTCACTTGCCCGCATTCGTTAATGACATTAATTTGGGATTACAATTTGAACTGGATTAAACAAAAATATTATTTAATACACAAAGTTTAGTATATTTTTGGTAACACCATGAACCGCTACTGATAACATCAAGAAACATGACATTTTCTATTATTAATAATTTTAATACTTAGGCCATTATAGCCCGGGCTATGTTAAAACTGCATGCCTTGGATAATGAATGAATTTTCAAAATGACGTTTTAACACTTTTTAAAATTTCAAAATGATGTTGAAGATGAAAAAAGTAGACTTAAAGGCCATTAGATAACAAAAGCGCTAAGAAATCACATAAACCGTGGTGAAATATTAAATGCGATTAAAGAACGTAAACTCTGCAACAGACTTGCAATAATTTCGTGACGTAATACCATTCCATTCCAAGAATTAAATGGGGATCATTTCGGGGTCGACGTGAAGAGAAATGAGGATCATTTCGGGGTCGATTTGGGGATCATTTCAGGGGCTGTACAGACACTTTTCTGCAATTTAATTCTCTTGAAGCAATTCGATCGCCAAAATTATCGCTACCCATCCTTCTACTATCTTGCAGATTAGATTAAAAGATATACAGCAGTGTTAAAATTAACTTTCTTTTGTTTTAAAATTTTACTGATTATCTTCCATCTCCTAATGTAGTGTGTGCAGACAAATCCAGTCATTGCAGCGGCTGGAAAGACTCTGGGTATTGCAAACAGTCTAGTCAATGGCACAACTACATGAAAGCCAACTGCGCAAAGACCTGTGATTGTTGTGGTGGCAGTTGTGGTGGTGGTGGAGGTGGTGGTGGAGTCTGCAGTGGTAAGTAAACGAAAATCGTTTTATAGTCAAGTTATCTTCAATCCTACGAACCCTACGAACCCGGTTGGCTCAAGGTATGGTATCTAAATTCAGCCAGGAGACCTTAAAACCTGCTGATTTAATATATATCTTTTAGAGCGGTTTTCATTTGAGTGTCGAAAAGTAATTGGTTTTGCACTTTCTACACGATGCGATTGGCTTAAAAGATTCGCGCCACCTTTTCATCCAATCAGAAGTAAAACCAAAGCCAATTGTGACGCGCTCGCATGCATTTTCCCGCGCTTTGCGTCAGCCACATGTAATTACTTCGAGTTTTGATTGGTTCAATGTATTGTCTGTGTCCTATGTGATTGGCCAGAGTAATTACTTTGGTTTTGGTTTTACGACACTCAAACGAAAACCACTCTAAACATTTTAATGGTTATGTAGTGGTTTCATGGCGTTATGTTTAAAAAAATTTAACGCCGTGACTCATAGTCGAAATGACTCATCACTTTTCTGTTAAAGAGACACCCTGTAAGCACTGTGGAACTAAAAAGCGTGCTCCATCTCTAAATTATTTACGAACCAGACTAACCCATTTTAATACTCTGAACACAGACGTATTTTCGGTTGCCGGAAGCTACAACAGGAAATACGCCTGCGTAGCTGGTGATTTTACGTGCTATGACCTTAATCGCTCTTAAATTATGACTGAACATTCTGGATCGGAATCATCCCCTCGCTGAAGTGCCGGGGTTTTTCATATGTCTTTGCTCTGTATTCTCGATGAAATCTCCGAGCTTCACTTACTGACCAAAAGTATGCAGTTAAACATGTTGGCGTTTACAAAACGATCACTTCGCGAAAGTAAAAAATGAAAAATAATTACGTTACTGACGATCCAGGGGCATCCAACGCCAATTTTCGGAAAACATCTGTTCGGAAAACGATTTGAGATTTAGAATTTTCGGAACATTTTCGAAACATTTCTTGCTTGCCTGCCTCTCCTAGGATTTTCGAACATCTAAAATATGGTATTATTGCCCATTTTTAAGGCATTTTTAACTTAAAAAGGTCACCTAGAATTTTCGGGAGCCTTTTTTCTGGCTGAAATTTTCGAAAAAGTACGTTTTGATCCCTATAATTTACGGATCACTAGAGTTTCAGCTAGGAAATCCGAACAGATGAAAAATTTTAAGGGGATAAGAATATGCCTAGATCTACTGTTAAAATACTAAAATACGTTTAACAATACTATTTTTAAGTGTTTTTGAACTATATTCTCGTTGGGTGCCCCTGACGATCTACCGCCTCATTTACCAAGATTGATAGATCTTTCAAATAAAAAAAATTGCGAGATTAACAACTGCTCTGTGATTTCTCTCTCTTTCTCTTTCTAGTGAGTGGTGCAAGCTCCCACGTAAAGGCCTGTTCATTTGACACTGATACGTGTGACTGGCATAATGTACCTTTTGATGATGATACAGACTTTGTTGTGCGCAGCCGCAGTACAGGAGGGCCGAGCAGTGGAGCGGGAGGTAGTGGTAAGTTGGGAACTAATGTGATTATATTTCATATTGCATAGTTAATGTACTAAAAATTTGGAACGCACATGGCGGGACGCCACTTAAAGGCGAGATATATGAATAGTAATTTTTTCTTGCGCTGTGATTGGCTATACGAGAGAGTGAAATAGAGTTGAAATAGAGTGAAATAGAGTTTACTTTGTCCGCTGGGAATAGACCTTTCACACATTCCGCTCTAGTGAGCAAACATGAACAAGGAAATGAGATCGAGGCTCCTACGATAGACAATTTCATAAAAAACGCTGTATTTTTTCCGCCCAAGCCTTGACTTGGTAACTTTGTATATAGAAATGCAGAAAAAGTCTATTGACGCTATTTTCACACAAGAAAAAGTGTAATCTCTTTCGCCGCATAATAAGGGTGCCTGGATATTGGCCTCGCTTATTTAGGCTGGTATTCACCCTTTTTTTATTTGCTTTTTCTAATTTTTTGTGTGTGTAACGTTCCAGAGTTTCTCGCTTAAGTAACAAGATATTCACCTACTGTAACCACGCAATATTCAGTGGTGGATTTAGAGATATGGTTCAATTTCCCGTTCCCCAAAATTATATTCGTCAGGAAAGTTTAATACTTAATCGATCTAATGAAATTCAGACAAAGCTATTTTATCAGTTAATCCAAGAAAGCAACTCTGGGTTCTTTAGGAACGTCACATGTACTGCGCCTATCACTATAGTAAGCGTCTAATTCGTAATGGCGTGGAACAACCTTGTCTTTAGGGCATTTGTCCATTTTTTGAATTTTGAAGGATGAGCAAGACCTTTTTTTCAACTAGGAAAGTTTATTGTCCTTGAGGGCAATGGCAAAGCCCAATTGATGATCCCCTTCGAACTGGTATTAGCCAGCCATGACAGTGACCATGGCAAGATGTGCATTAGGTTTAACTACTACATGAATAGGTAAGTCATTAGTATCTTTTCCCTTTGTTATCTAAGCAGCTGGTACCATTCTTAAACATTGTGTTAGTGTCGTAATTTGCTGGCTCGACTTGAAATACTACAGTCCAACGTTTGCAAAAACTCGATAATTTATGATAACAGAACCTCCTCATGATAACATTAATTTATGATAATTTAGAAACTGAATTGAGTTCAACCATAGTTAATAGAGTGGAATGGTTATGAAGCCCGTCAGACTCATTTGTTAAATGTTTTTGTAGCTTTGTGGACTTCACGGTGTACAAAGTTAAATGGCATTCCTATCTTTTGATCTTAATGGCCAATAAAAAAGTCGAAAATATGTGGCAAGCCTTCGATACGAAGATAATGTTTTATTCTCATGCAAATAATAATAAATATGAAATATAAAAAAATAAATTTTAATTTTCACCACGAAAGAGCTTTTGCACTTGGTCTCATTTCAAAACCTAAAGGGTCGATTATTTAAAGGAGGTCTAACTTAGTCCGCGGTTTACGAAATCGTTGGACCTCCTGATCTCTTTTTTGGTGGGTTATTTTAAAAAGATAAATGTTTTTCTAGTCTACACTTTATGCTTTCATGAAACTGTTCACGATAAATTGTGTTTAGATAAAAGCGTTGAGCAAACTGAAAATGGTTTAGAACGGGTTTTGTTAAACACTGGCTAAACTCTGTTTATATAACAAGCCCAAAGTTTTTAAAACTCGCAAATGTCCAAAGGAAAAGTTTTACAGTGCTTACTCATTTCTCTGGCTGGTTTCTGTTTTTTTTATGGGGCAGGGTCGTTAGCTCTACGCCAGACTTTCAAAATGGAGGACCAGAGAGTTTCTCTTTGTCGTTTAGCATTAGATAACATAGGGTGAAGCCATATTGGACACCTTATGAGGTTTACACAACGCATTATTCTCTCAACGTAACGAGAACAGAACCCCACTAACCTTGTAGAATTGCTAAACAAACAAACAAACAAACAAACAAACAAAGACTGTGCCGCGCCAGTTATGGAGAGAGCACACTGGAGAGTTAAGCAATAATCTGTAGTGATTAAGGTTAAGCACTAAACTGCGACGGTTAGCTTTCAAATGTTGTAATGGGATACGGCATACTTAAAACTTCCGGGATTTTGCAGCTATTCCTAGATGGTGTAGTGGATATGGATGTAGGTTATGATGCAAATGGCTCGGGCTCAAAGCATCCCAGTTCTGTTTATCTATCTTATTTCATACTTTCACAGTTAAGTTGGAATTAAGTTGTTCTTCGTATAATTTTAGTGAAAGAAACGACCTGGCTTCAGCCGATGTTACCTTATGTTAACCCTCTTTGTCTGGTCTTTTCCCTTCGACCTTTTCGGCATGGGTGGCCCTACCAGGAGTACAAGACTCCAGACATAGCTTAAGGAGTCACACTGAGACACGCAAACTGCCCCACCACGTCAAGGTTGTGACCCCTTTTGTAGCATGGCCTTATGCGACTACTGGCGCGACAATGATTATGATGATGATGATGATGGTTTAATCCCAATTGTGTGCCAGAGAGCGGGGACGATAAAATTCTCCTAATTGTTTAGTGATCTACAATATTCATCCGTAGGCGCAGGTCCTAGAGAAGAATGAAGACGTGGGAAGATATGCAGATATATGCAGTATCACCATGTTGTTACACAAAAATTCATTATGAGTCAACTATTGTGATGATGATAATTCCCGGTTTGCACTGTCACGCAATGAAAAATAAAAATGCAAACCATTGAATACAGAACGTCTAGAATCTGGGAAATAAAAGGAAATAATTATACAAAAAGCCTTGCCAAAAATCAGGTCTGTGCAATATTTCAAATGCGAGATATTCCGAAAAACGGTTTACCTAAATTTATAAAGCTTTGTATGGAAACGCCATGTTGGTGGGACATCAATGTGGCCTCCGGATACCAACAGAAACTTCTGTTTTCGAGTTTTCCTACTAATGGGTGAATTCTTCGCTTGATGAACTCATAAAGATTAAAGTAATATTTATTCCGAGACAAGGAATGTTGAGACAGCAAAATCTCTCAAAATCAATAGTGCTTTTAACCCACATATATAAGGGCTCTCCTGGCCGTCAGCTAGATGCCGCGTCACGCAAAAGCCTGGAAATTCAAGCGTCCTCTCTCGCAAAACGAAGAACCCTTTCGAACTTAAAATTTGTTTATATAAAGGTGTTTAGGTGTTGCAATACCTCGTGAAAGTAGAAACTCAGAAGAATCGATAGTGCAAACCAAGAACAATGATGATGATTTTGTTTATTGATCCGCAGTGGTACACTGGCGCTGTATTCTGTCAATAATCGTCGGGGTTCACCAAGAACCAAACTTAAACAAATGAGCAACTCTGGATCACAGTGGAAATGTGAGAAAGTACAAGTAGATGTCAGCGTACGCTGGCAGGTAGGAGAAATGATGATATTGATAATGGCAGACATTTTCGTCTGGCAATTTCTAGTAAAGAGTAGATTATAGACATTTCTACTGACCCAAAAAATGTCATACCTCAGAGAGCAAAGTCAGGGGCGGATACAGGAGTTTTTTTGGGAGGGGTTGCACTCGTCTCTGGCTCTACTTCAACACCAATAAACCACATAGTTTTTTTTTTTGCAGAATACCAGTTGTATAAGAAAACCGCGGGTCATCTCAGGAAGGGGGGGGTGCGCACCCCCTGCACCCTCCCCCTAGATCCGCCCCTGAAAGTAAATCATAGAGTTGTATAAGGCGTTAAGAGCAAGGCCAATTTACAGTCAGCTCTCTCTCTTAACGGACACGTCTATAAGACAGACCCCTCGCTACAACGGACAACTAGACCTTGCCTTTCTTTACCCTTTTATTTGACTCTCTTTAAGAAGGACATCTCTTTAAGATGGACACAGTACAGTGCCGGTCCCAAAGGTGTCCGTCTTATAGAGGGTTGAGTTGTTAACCCTAATTTAAGCCCCAATAGTGACCCACATCGAATTTCTCCCAACAATAACACTAAGGACATCTCTTTAAGATGGACACAGTACAGTGCCGGTCCCAAAGGTGTCCGTCTTATAGAGGGTTGAGTTGTTAACCCTAATTTAAGCCCCAATAGTGACCCACATCGAATTTCTCCCAACAATAACACTGCTTCAAACAGACAGGTTATGAGAATGAATGAAATGATCACCCAAGATGAAATGTTGTGATGTTAGAACAAATTCTCTCAAGCAGTACCATAAGTAATGTATGAAGAAAAGTGTGGAGAAGATGCATGTTGATGTTAGGGCTTAAAGGGTTAAAAGGAGTAAAGAAAGGCAGGGACCAACTGTAGGTGTCCGTCAAGAGAGAGTTAAATACAACGTCAAAAAAAACATATACAGTCAACTTTCTCTCAGACGGACACCTTTTGGGACCTGCACTATATGGCCGTCTTAGAGAGATGTCCTTCTTTTAGAGGTTTTCGTTAAGAGAGAATTGACTGTAAGGGATTTATTGATTTTTTTGACAAATCTCCTTTGGTTTTATAGTTGTTGTTTGAAGCAAATAAGAATGGAGGACCTATTGCTCTAGACGACATCAGTTTCACTGATAACTGCTGATTGACCGGCGACACCATTGAATAAGTAAGTAAATAAGTAAAAGTGAGGAAGCATCTTTGTCCCATTAGTTTGGCCCCTAGCATTAAACAGAGAATATAAAATAAATGTCTGTGACCAAAAAATGGAAGGTCAGTCAGGATTTGCTCTTATGGTTTTCAGTATACCTGTTAGCTTCTCTCGGCTGATTTTTAGCTCTGGTTAATAACCGGCTGGGCCGTCAATAACCGAAGACAACAGATGTACATTTTAGTTTATTAACCTGTCAAAACTCTTTGCAGTTCTTTTCAGGTATTCAGTATTTGACGAAGTTTAATCTAGGATTTTTGACGAATTTTGTTTTGATGAGCCCTTATAAGGGGAAGGGTTGAATGTAAAAGAATAATAGATGGAATGAATTCGTGCTCTCTCACTCACACTGACCTCTCATACAAGGCAGTACTACTTCAGTGTTGAAAAAAATAAACAGGATTCTTTAATGTTTACAAGCCTATGGCTGGGTTTAGTTGNTCGCTGGGCATGCCAATTTCTTGCCTGGCATGCCGGGCATGCCAAACCAACTGGCTTCACCGTCGACATGCCCGGCATGCCAAACCAGAGGAGCTAAAACTGGGAATGAATTATTAACCCGGCGAGAGATCTGGGACCTAAGTTTAGCTGGGTCAATTTTGAGCTGCGAGGGCATGAACCCATTTTTTCCATGCCTATGAGATGTTATTTCTAAGTACCAATGTTCCCTTGAATTTTGTCCTGCCTATATATATAAAATTTTCCCTCTCTCGTTAATCCTCAGACTGGATGCGATTTTTACGCTCGGTAGGCATGTTCAACTGAAAATCATGCCCATACCCTTATTCAAAACAAAATGCTATCAAATTTTAGTTTCCAAGCCGTTTCTTTTCAGGTATTCAGTATTTGACGAAGTTTAATCTAGGATTTTTGACGAATTTTGTTTTGATGAGCCCTTATAAGGGGAAGGGTTGAATGTAATAGAATAATAGATGGAATGAATTCGTGCTCTCTCACTCACACTGACCTCTCATACAAGGCAGTACTACTTCAGTGTTGAAAAAAATAAACAGGATTCTTTAATGTTTACAAGCCTATGGCTGGGTTTAGTTGTTTACAGCTATTTCGAGAGTCGGAAGAAAAGTGCACGAAACAATCCCGAAAGGTAATATGGGATATGATCATTACACTGTAGCTGTCGAAACTACTTTAGTTACTTTCTTTTAGCACTCGCAAAGGTACGTTCGTGGCCGCTCGTGCCATTCTTTCAAATTTCTTCGAAAATCAGTGAACTCAAAGCCGCTCACAATTCCTTTCCTTATTGTCGCGCGCATTTCTTCCGACACCCTTTCACGAAATAGCTGCATACATTGAACGTTCCCTAACAGTGGTTGTCTAACAATGAGTGATCTCTAGCTGGCATTACTGAGATGAAACTAAAGGCTTAGAAGAGGTGTTTGCTTGCGGAAAGTTTTGCCTTTGAAACCGGATTGTAACTTTTGCCTTTTTGAGGAGTAGTCTTTATTGTTTCCGTGTATAGATGATGCTAGCTCGCCCGTGCCTCTACTGATAAATGGAATGTTTATATTGTGGGAGGCCGCGCTTACATCTTAATGAAGTTAAATGGTGATTTACAAAATCAAAAGTCTTGCTTCGTGGTATTAAAGCACTTTCATTTGTTTTCTACAGGATTTAGTGCAATATCCACAGCTGGGACGAAGTGCTTTGATGAAATGATTAAATTCTAGATAGAACCAATCTGATGTCCAGTAGTTTTTTTTTTCAACCCTCCATCTTTCTTGCTGATACATCCAATAGCTACGTAGTATATAACTCACAGAAAAAAGGGAAGAAACTAACAAAACAAAGTGGGTTTGGTAATTTTTCCTCCCTCTCCGAATACTTCAAAGTAAGACCCAACGTACAATCATCCAACAAGTTTTAGCGGAGCTCTCTCTCTCAGCGGAGCACCATCAATAAGAAAATTGTCCGAGAAATTTTGGTTCTGAATAGAAATCGTCCGTACGGAGTACGTCCGTACGTGCGTCTACCCCTTCATGTAAGCTGGGGTGAAATTTTGCATTTCAAGTACACGCGTGTTTCGGCAGTAAATCGTATAGCCAGCCGGACTTTTAGAGATAAAACACAACAACAACGAAGCCGAATCTTTCATTCGACTCAATTTAATGTCTACATTGGCGTGGACAACAGAGAAAGAGCTAGAGACAGAGATAAAAAACAAAGGAGACCAATTTCGTTTGAAGAATGACATGAGAATTTTATAGCGGCTGTGAGAAGACGAGAAATGCTAGCGGCCAACAAGGTAAAAAAGAGCGGCAGCGAAAAGAAAAGGCGAACAGAATGACATACAACATTTCCTCCATAAAACGTGTAACTAGGAAGTTTCTGGAAGTTTCACGTTGTCGTCGTGCAAAACAACGAGAAAGAAATTTACAAAAAAGATGTGCTGCACCTGCAAAGTTTTTTTTTTTTGCTAATTAGACCTATTGCTTGTTTTTTGCTGTTTTCGTTGCCGTCGCCGCTTGATTAGCATTACACGATTTTATTTTTGTTTTAGTTTCAGTAAACTATAGATGTTAACGAGAGCTTCGCTTTTAGCCCTGGCTTAATTTATATATAATTATCATATCGCGTCTGCAGTTTTCATTGTGGAAAGAGCTAGATCAAAAAATGCCCAACTGTCGTTTAGATCATAAGATGCTTTTACTCCCCGGGAGTGAGGCTGTTTTCACCCTCTTTTGAGCAATTTGGGCTAGTAAAACATCTCCTTCTTCTTCTTCTTCTTCTTCTTCTTCTTCTTCTTCTTCTTCCTTGACTTCACTCAACTATATACTGTATGGGCTAATGTTCTCCTGTACTCATCGGTACCTTAAGTCAACTTACTCATACATTTTCTGTTAGTATCTACGTTTTTTTTGAAAAGCTGTAATGAAAAATTTAGCCGAAATATTTTTTTCACCAAAATTGCTCTGTATTTTATGCTGCAAGCTAGTTTGTCAGACAGTTCTTGACAATAGAATTTGCATAACAAAGATGCTAGTCTGTATTCGAATGGAGTGGTGCCAAATCTTTCGCGTACGAAAATCCTGCACTTAAACGCAGTTTGAAAACAGGTGTGTTTTCAGAACTGTAACGTGACGCGAAATCGACATCCCAATATTTTTAATAAGTTGCATTTTCACCGTGGAAAACAGTCGTTACACTCATCAAGTAAGTGCTAGCTTTTTTTTGTTGCTGTTTCTTCTCAGTTCAGCTTTGCTCAATAACAAGCGGGCGGTTTGGAATGTCTTAAGCTAATTTAGGAAATAATTTACAAGCGCCCTGATAAAAATCACTGATTTAGCTTCTACAACTTGTTGAAGAGATAATTTCCCGCTTGTAAGCTAGACTGAGATGGTAAGCGTTCTCTTTATGCTCGGGTGTCGTTGAAGCGATGATAATAACCTAGGTGCTCATTTCACCAAAATTTCACCCACTTTGATTTATTTCTTTCTTTTAACCTTTTATTCGCCATTTTTTAAAATCGATTTAGTCAGGTGCAATCGTGAATAAAATCATTGTGTTTGGTGACTGTGATCAACCCAACAATAGTTGTTTTAGTGTCACATATCTCTTAAGTTGTTGACATAGTTTAAAAGTTTGGAGAAAGGAAATTCTTGAATACTTTATTAACTGCGATCTTGGAAGGCAAGGTTTCACAACTGGGAGCTTAATGCAGCTAAAACTCTTTTAGCGGCCTAATTAATGACGTCGCTGAGAAGAAAGCTAGACGTTCGAATATGCCGGACATAGGTATACGATTGTTCTTTCTTGTTACACTAGTTGACTTGTCTAGGTTTGTTTACAACAAACGCAAACCAGCTTTTTGATCTCACGCAAGCGGTTGACTGCGATTACTATGATAGTCAACCTGTGTTCTGAATGATTCCACCTCTGTTTGTCTCCGTTACGGCGCCTTACCGATGAGGGAAGAAATCAGTAGTCCATCTAAAACTTTTTGTTATGCAATAAAAAATAGGCAGGATTATTCTTTTATCTCAGCCGCATTTGACAATGAATAGCGATTGGTATCGGTCTCGTAAACATGCATCAATTGTTTGATTTGGTAAGCATCGTTTCTTCTTTTGTAGAAAAAAAATTAAAATTCCTGTCTGCCTTCTTTCCTTTGCCCCATTGCTGTCCTTGGTTCTTTCGCTTCATCTATTGACCCGCAACTCTATTCTTATAACACGTTATACCTAATATATGCAGCGTAACTTCAATCTTGGACAGAATAAAATGGTACAGCAAACCCCTATTCCCCTGAAATCAAAGAAGAAGTTGCGCGAGGTCCAAAACGCGCCATTTTCCCATCATTCTATTTTGTCCAAGGTTGGACAGGTAGATACGTAGGCCAAAGAAGGAGTACATTACATTTTTAATTACCCTATGTTACGGTACACTATTCTAGGACAATGGGTTGCATTACTTTACATTACATCCATGCAAGTAACCTACGTTTATTCGAGTTTATGGTGACATATTCTGAATATGCTCTTCTTATTGCTTCTTAAACACTCTTGGGAATGACACGAAGTGTCACGTTCGGGCTGCCCTTGGGCAATAAATCATTTTTGTCAACTGATCGGTAGTAGATTTTTGTTTGCATTTCTACTCTATGTTGCAATGACGTTTTGCACAAAAACATGTCATCTAACGTGAGGAGATAAAAAACACATATAGACAAGGCTAAAAGCAGAGCCTCTGTACGTAAGTTCTAGTGTATGCTATGTCGGGGGTATTAGGCGCTAGCTTATTAGATCAGTATTATACTTGAAACGCCAGAAGTGTGCTTTTTGACAGTGGTTCGCAAATGAGGGGAGCATGATAGGGATGCTTACAGTAATCGCACTCTTACTCCTCCACCACCCACACCTCCTCCTCCCCTCCTCCCCCCCAAGTAATGAGTGACAGAAATTATAGGACCCATCAGA